CGAGGAAGCATTGCAGACTCCCCACCCCCTAAGGAATGTTTCGAAGCGGGGGTGGCGCGTGCCCCAATAAAGCACCCTCCCTCATAAGGGCACAAAAGGAAATAATGTTTGGAGGCCCCTCTGTCCACGTCCTTCCATTTGGGGGTGAGCATGTTGCACAGATCCTGCCCTTTCCCTGTGCATCAGAAACAGTACAAGCGCGTATTCCGCCTGGCCCTAGCGCAGGCTGGTTGCGCATGTTCCCGCATCTGGTCATTCCGGAGTCGGAGGCAGTCGATGCCCTCATTTGGGTGGATGCAGGACTTCGCCCAGGGGGTATCATCATGAGTCCAGGCACTGTGTACATGTGTGTTTGGATGTTTCTTGGCTACCCTTTTTGCGGGTGGTTTAAAGGGAAACCCAAAGAAAGCCAATTCTGGGTCCCCTATTTTTGAGACATCCCATGTGGCGATCGTTGTTGTCTTTGTTGTCTTTCCTGCTTGGCCTCGGGAGAATTGCTAGGAGACTTTGTCTTCCTGGAAGATCCAGTGGAGTTGGCCAGACACCGAGAAAACTTTGATGAGGAGCATCCCGTATGAGCCACGGTCGGAATTACGCAGCTTGCCCAATAGGCATGGGAAAATTAGTGAGCCCCTGGCTTTTGATCAATTTTGTGAGTTCGCTTATGTCCCCCAAATGAACACTCGCCTACTGGAAAGTTTGACCAACACCTCCTATTTCATGCATCCTTCTTTTTAGATCGCCTCCGGTTCAATGCGGGCATGCGGCAAAACAAGGGAACCCGGTGCTTGCCCTGCGTTACATCAACCCGAAAAGGGCACTCTCGAAACAATACCTTTTCATGCTTGCGCTGGAGCCCCTGAGGATGACTTCCTCGGGGTGGCAGACGAGCAGGTGGGGAGGGCTCCTTTCTTTCCAAGAAGGTGGTGACGACCCTAATCAAAGGGCGTTACCAATCAAAGATATTCCACTTCAAAGTGCCACAGCGCATTCTTGATGGGGCTTACGACATCCCACCGAAGAGAAGCCTAATTTGAACTGGTGCACTCTTAGTTTCCTTTGCGCCTTTAGGCGAGTGCCAACAACATCCCAAACAGAAGTTTGAGCTTCAAAAACCCTGGGTATACATGCAAAAATCTTCAAATGTGCGATACCTGTAGCTGTTGGTTCGGTATGCTAACTGTTTATGAGAAAGTTGCTGAAGGTAGCAAGTTCCCCTTAGGTGCTGGGTCTGCCGCTGCAGCTCTTCTCTTTGCGCCGGCTGAGAAGTCACGGCGGCAGGTGGGCGGAGCTGGTCACCGATGCGGTGCATCGAGGCCTTCGGAACTTTGCGCGCGAACCCACGGGTCAAAGGTCCTAAGGTGCGCAAAAAGAACAACTTCCGAGGGTACTCGTTCCCTGCAAGTCTCCTATGGCCAAACAGGTGGCTGTATGTGGAAAGGGAACCTGTTTGCAGATGAGGGATCCCTGAGCTTTGGTGGGTTAGCCCTCAGCTGTTTTGTCCGAACTCGGAAGGCCTTACTGGCAAAAGGACACTGAGGACTGCGGATTGTTTCCTTTTCCAGCTTTGTCGACCGTCGATCTTTTCAAACACAAGCGCATTCCTTCTGGTTTTCGGCGGTTTTCCAAAATTTGGAGTTCTGGACAAGTTGAGCAACTTCCCCAAGAGAGTCTCTTGTGTCGTTTCCTGGGGAGGTTATGCAGAATCGGGTGACAGCTTCTGCCGCCTGGGGGAGGGCATGGGCGTGGTGTTTCTACTGCACCATGCGGAGAACAGTCGGCTGGCCGCAACTGCAGGTTCGAGTTGCCATCATCTCAGGCAGCATTCCCGTCATTTCTCAGCACGTACGTGTGTGTGTGTGTGACATGTGTGTGTGACATGTGTGTGTGTGTGTGTGGCCTCCTTCTTCCAGCATAGCACGTGTTTTCCTGGCTGAATTCCCTTTTATTGAGTTTGACTTGTTGCTGGCACTGGCAAGCGCCGAGCCACGCTTTTTTGTGCCTTTGGGACGTCCCACTGATTGATGCAGTCAGACCCTGGGTCCGATTGCAAGGTGTTTGGATCGGGGGGGCGTTGATTTCGCAGGCCCTCTGCTAAAACCTGGGCGTAAGCTTTCGAAGGGAGCTAGGGATAAGTCCCTTGAAGTAGTCCCTTCTCAAAAAGACTCTTGAAACAAACCTCCATTTTGATCATATTCTTGAGGATGTCGCATGTATGGATCCAGTAAGGATGGGTTTACTACCAGCTGCCCCACCACTGGACCTACATGCCTTGGGCCGTGTGGTTGCCATCCACTGGCACCGGCAGCCTTTGGGCTTCGCGATCCACGCTTTGGCGCTTGCCTGCTGATCCTGTGTGGAGCTGCTTGGGCCAAGAAGAAAGCAATGACCACTTGGGTGTGGTCATGCCCATGTGATCAACGCTGCCCCCACTCCCTGGTCTCTTCAAAAGAAATTTGCTCATGTGCAATGCCAGCTGTCACGAGGGGACGGAGCGCATCTGCGATTGTCCGCTCAGGTGACTCCGTCTTCCCTGGGCTGTCGGAGCGGGTTTGCAGAGCACGATTGCAGTAGGGGTCCCATTTGAGAGGGTATCCTTTTGGTCGCCTACGCCCTGCTTGACCCCTGCCGGCCCAACCTGCCAAGGCTTGTCGCCCCCGTCAGGACTTCACGACTCTGCGGGTGAGGTGCCCAAGCTTCCTGGAGGAGCTGGCCAGCTACATCCGCGTGGCCACGCAGACGGACCCAAAGCGGCACTCGGTCGCTCGCTCTGCTTGCCGCTCTCTCTCTCTCTCTCTCTCTTGTGTGCGTGTGTGTGTGTGTGTGTGTGTGTGTGTGTGGCTCTCTCTCTCTCTCTCTCTCTCTTTGTCTCTCTCTCTCTGGCTTCCCTCCTGCATCCCTTGCCTTCATTTCACCTTTCTTTGTGCACTTGCTAAAGGCGTAAAGGAGGGACATTCGGGCGTGGTTCCTTTTTCGGAGTTGGTATCTTTTTGGGGCCGGGAAAGCAAGGGAACCCATGCCCTTTGTTGGCGTCCTTCCCTCCACCTGAATATCCTGGCAAGTCGGCTCAGGCCTTTTCCTTTCATGGGTGTTGACGGCCGGGGTGCTTGGCATCCCGGTTTGCAGGCCAGGCCTTCTGTGTTGGGTTCGTTTCACGAACACCCCGAATGCAAACCAATCCAGGCTGGACAGGGAGGCGGCCGAGAGAGCTTTCAGAATGTATGCTAATTGGACATGCATCCTGGTACACATCATTTACATGGCTGGATATATTGGACACCCTTTGGTGCATATAAGCCAAACCTGGCGAGTCCTGGAAAATGCCAACCACCTTGAGAGTCTCCATTAAAAGTCAGGCACAGGCCCGGGTTGACTGTACCGATAAGCCTGGCAGATGACTCGCTCTGGCAAACACTGGGTCATCGTAGGGCATTGTGGACTTGGAACCGGGGCAGGTTCTACAAAGGCTCCCGGGATATTTCCAAGGTGCTGGGGTACTTCTTGGGCTTAATGGCTGAATCATCATCAAGAGGGCACGCTTGTGGTAGCCATTGCTGAGGGTGGTCCAAGCATTTAAGATTTCCTAAAACAACCGTCAAAATGACTGGCTTCCCTTTCAAATTTGGTTCCCCAAGCCAACCCCAGGCGCAAGGCAGCACTGGATTCCAAAAACGGGCTGTACCGTGGCTAAACAAAAACCTGAGCCAGTTGGGATGGACTGGCCTGTATGACCCCATGAGTGATAGGGGATTTCGTCCAGACACAGCATGTTGACACCATGGAAGTTGGGAATGGACGGGCAGGACATGCAGGAGCTGAGCCCAGACGAGCAAGCAGAACAGTGGCTGCTCAGCTGTGGTTTTTGTTTTGCCAGTGGCGTTTGGTTGTTGTCAGTCTCAGCATCCCCCACCACCAGAAGGCCGTTCAACATGGGGCAGCCCCCAAAATGCGTGGTTCCCGTGGGGCACTTCCAACACGGCGCCAATCCTGTGCTCGTGTGATCTGAACTCAGGAAGCACTTCAGGGTGACAAGAGACGCCGTGATTGTCGATGAATTTGAACAACGTGCCTCAGCAGCAGGGGCTCGGGGCAGAACAGGGAGGCAAGGTCGACGTTTGTTCTTTGCGGGGGGGGGGGGGGGTGTTTCTCTTTCCCGCGGTGCTCTTCTGCCAGTTTTGGGATTTGCCATATGTTGGGGCAGTTAGAGGGAACTCCACTTACAAATAGAAAACTTGACTGGGAGATGTTCTGATAAACAGTTGCTTAATCTTCTTTCAGCTCCGCGAAGGGAACTAGTTTTCGATGTTATTTCTGCTGGCATCCTGCTTCGTCAAGGGAAACATTTGCTCGCACTTGTGGCGCCCTGTCTCTTGATTGAAGCCAGCCACGACAAACACAACCTGGCAACGCAATGGTGGTTTTACACCCGGAAAGCCGGCTTCTACGTGTCAGACGTGTAAAGGACGAGAGCGGAAAAGAGCCCCCGAAAGGGTGCAGCCATGTGCAGCCTGATTTGACTTTGTCGGTTCATAGGCAAGCCGGAACACCGGCCCTGAGCAAGGCCTGGGCTGCGAGGAGCGCGCCAAGGCGGTGCACTTGCCGGTGATGTTCCACCAGGCGACTTTTTGGCGAGTCTCATTTTACTACTAAAATGTGCGGTTTTCCTTTGGTTTCCCTTTGTTTTCCACTTCTTTTTCAACTTTTCCTTGAAACCAAACTCAAGAAGGTCCTTACTTGAAGATTGGTTCCAGTGTCTCTGGAGCTGGGCTGTTCAGAATACTGACCTATGTTTGGGTTACGAAAGTTAGATAGGGGGTCGCCAAAAAGGCTACAGTAGTGTGAGAGTGTGTGTCTCACAAGGGGTGTCCTCGAAAGACTTACTAGAAAGCATTCACAGAAACACTTCTACCCAAAGCCGTTGGTTTCCCTTCGGTTTCCAATTAGAATACCGATGGCCGGGAGTCAGCCAGGCCAACGTCAAACAAGTGTCCATGCTATTTGACCTGGGTCTCTTTGACAGACATCACTTTACATTCTGAGGTTGAACAAATATGGACCGGAACTTACCCTAGTAATTTGGTTTGGACAGATCCCTGAGGTTGTTGCAAACAAGTGCGTCTCCAAATCTGGGCCAACCGACACCCGCAGCTCCACGGGTATGTTTGGGTTGTCCGACTTGAATGGCAATGCGTGGGTGTGAAATACAGGCTGACTGAATGCGGCGGTGCTATGACGAGCACCACGAGGTAGCCTGACAAAAGCTCCAATTGCAGGTGCTGGTTGCAAATATCAGCGGGGAGACCCAACTTCAGCTTCGCATATCGGACAGAGGAGTTTGATTTCATGTGCCCTTCCGCAAATGCTATGTTAGTGGGAGAAAGGACAGTTTTCGACTGACAAGATTGCACCAGTCATTCCCGCTACCAAAGCGATGTATGGACGGGGGCTGCATCCCGAACAAAGAACCAATCTATGTTGAGAATGTATGGAGGGGTGTGCCGTAAATTCCGAGAAGCCAAACATGGGCTTCGATTTCTTCTTTGGCTTTCCTTTGCACCACCCCAGAAAGGCGATCCTCCAAAAATGACACATCCATATCTCCGGCATGCATCTTGCCGGAGGTACCCTGGGTGCATCGCACCTTGGCTCCAAAATCTGCCTGTGCCAGTTCGGCAGAAGTTTGCGCGCATCCGCAAAGCTGTGCGGTTTGCCGTGTCAAAATCGGTTTAAATCACCCGACCCGAGTCGCCGATTCGATTCGCTTTAGGTGAAATGAAGTTGTTTGGTACAAAAGTTTTCGAATAAGGGGGCCCGACTGTGCAGGCCTGGGTCAAGCAGCCGCCATTTTGTCGCGGATGTTCTCGAATCTAGGGTACCAAACAAATGTGGGTGCGAGCATCCATGCCTTCACAAACGTGAATTTAAATCCACGCGCAGAACAACGTACACATACTTTTCACTCATGTGGAAGTAAGAACTCCCCAAGCCAAGTATTTTCCTCATGCGTTTTGTTCGTATTGTGAACTAGCTCGTGGAAGTGGGCGTGAGGGTTTTGGAACTGCGACCTCCTTGAAAAGTCCAATGATTGTTGGGCGGACAAAGGGTATCCCCGTATATGGGCGTGTCATGGCGGTTCTCCTTTAAAGGGAGGGGCAACCAAGAGGCAGGAAAACCGCCTAATGCTAAGACATGTCCCCGAAACTCCGCAGAAGTGTTTGGGGCAGTTTTTGCGGACGCGTGACCCGAGGTTTTCTCAACTTCTGGGCCGGCGCCGAGGCATCCCGGCCGGATAGTTTCCCGATTTTATCTCAGGGCTCCTGATTAAAACAAGTCCCTTCTTTTCTGGTTGCTTCCTTTGGGGAGATGCTCGTTGGTGTTTGTCGTCAAGGGCCATGCATCAATTGAATGCACTTGGAGCCAAAGAGAAAGAGAGAAGAGAAGGAGATAGTGAGAGAAGAGAGAGAACAACAGAAAGAGAGAGAGAGAGAGAGGGAGAGAGAGAGAAAGGAAGAAAGAGAGAGACAGAAGAGCCGTGGCTGCTTTCTGCCAGGTGTGGACGGGCGGAGCTCCAGCGCGGGAGCTGCGGACCGATGCCATGCTGGACATGATGGAAAAAGCGAACCATGGGATGTCCCCGTGGATAAATCAATGCAGATCGGCGTGGAGTGTGTCCATCCACTGTATATTTTCTCTTTTGGGGCGGGGGTGGGGGTTTTCAAGACGATGGCTAACACCCATGGTCCTTAGGTCGTTCTTGCGTCTCCTTGAGCTGGCAGGCTTTCCATTGCGCCCGCCGCTTCAGCTGCCGAGCAAAATAGCCGAGATTGCAGGGCTTCAGACAGCTCTCAAAATCCTTGCCCGATCAAGCCAGTAACGACCTTTGAATTGCAGGTGGGTGCGTCGCTCCTGAACGCTGGGAAAACCGTCACTTCGGAACGCTGATTAAAAATCGCTTCGGAACGCCGGAAAACGCACTAATCGCTTAGGAACGCTGCAAGCGCAGCCGCATGCCACGCGCTGCACCGAGACACCGGCGAGCGCTTCGCTCTTGAACGCTGGGGCAAGAATCGGCACCGATGAAACTCTGTTTGTTTTGGGGGAGACAGGGAGGGACCCACCAGGCGTTTTCTTCGGAAACCGCATGTTCACAGCAGCTTGCAGAGCCTGACGTTTGGCATGTGCAGAGAATTGCCCTCATTTAGAGCAGTTGAGCGGGTGTGCTTATCATCCCCCCCGCCACCCCCAGAACCAGATGAATTTGCACATTTGGTTACAGAGCAGGCTGGGCTGGTTCAGTTGAGCGGGTGTGCTTATCATCCCCCCCACCCTCCTGAACAAATTGATTGGATTTTGCACACCCTGGCTGGAATGAAGCAGTTCAGCGGGTGTGCTTATCATGCCTCCCCCCCACCCCACCCCCCACCCCGAACCAGATGAGTTTGCACATTTGGTTACAGAGCAGGCTGGGCTGGTTCAGTTGAGCGGGTGTGCTTTTCACCCCCCCCCACCCCCAGAACAAATAGGTTGGATTTTGCACACCCTTGCTGGAATGAAGCAGTTCAGCGGGCGGGTGTGCTTGTCATCCCCCCCCCACCACCCCCCACCCCCAGATGAATTGGCAGATGAATTTGCACTTTCGGAGCAGGCTGGGCTGGTTCAGTTTACCACCCCCCCCACCCCCAGAACCACTAGATTGTGATGATTTTTACATGACCGGGTTTTGCAACCTTTTCGGCGTTTTGAGTGCTCAGTGTTCTGATGTGATTTACTTGAGTGTTCGGAAGTGATCAAAAGTGGCAGCGTTCAGAAGTGATTTAGCGTTCGGAAGTGATTGTCTACCGAATTGCAGGTAGCTTGTTGGATGGGATGCCGCAGGCCGCGCGAAGACAAGATTGTATCGCATCGCCACTTTGGCTCAGCCACGGCCCGCACGACGTCAGGGCAGAGTTGTTCACATTTTCCGAGGACAACCATTTCGTTCCAAGACCTTCCTAGGAGGCACCACGGCTCTCCTCCAAAAACGTCTTTTAGGGTAAACAAAAACATCCTCAAAGGGTACTTCTCGGATCAGTCAGAAACTGGGGCTGTTCCATTTATATGAACCTAACTACCACTTGTGGGGACAATCACAAATCAATGGGGTAAGCAAAAACATCAGCGGCGACGCATGGCCGTGGATGCGGCGCAACGCAGCTTGGCAAGAACTGGCTGTGCCGGTGCGTTCAACCGCTGTCCTTCCACCCGTTCGAGTCACCTCAGTCCTGCAAGGTTATCTTTGAGCTGCCCATATTGGTACATTTGTTAGCCCAAAAGTAGGCAGATGTGCAAAGAAATGTGTGAGTTGTCCAGCCCGCCTGTTTAGCCCCCTCCCCCCCTTCCCGGAAGCGGATTGCCAATCAGAACAAGGATTGAGTGGAGTACGGACTGCGGCTAGGCCCCAATCAGTTCGAACGGGCTAGTATTTCACATCTTGGGATAGGCAACACGTGAAGGATTGGAACAAATTTCCCACGAGCTGGAGGCAAGCGGGAGCTGCTGCAGTCCGTTGAGGCGCCCTTCCGTTGGCCGGGGCACGGGGTCCCTTATTGGGTTTCGGAAATTTGCGGAAGACTCGGGTCTGACTGTGTGTTGGGTCTTGGCTCTTATGTGGGCCCATTGAAATTCGTCGACTCTCAGGCTGTTTAAGGCATCTGGTTCCTTGTCAGGGCGGTCTTGGATGTACCCTTGGCGTCAGGTCAGTTTTGGATGTACCCTTTTTTCGGACGCCCTCGAAGAATATGGCTGGGCATAAATCCTGATATTAAGGGTGAGCATCAAAGGGTGCAAATCCCACATTGCCCAAACCTTGCAAGAAAGACTTGAAGTGCAAGCCGCCAAGAAAACACAACAGGGGTCTCTGACATGATTGCATATCTTGGGGTGTGATTTGGGAGCCAGACGAGCGACCCATCCATTTTTTTTGCTAGGAGTGCTCCGCCGCGCTGGAGCTAGAGCTCGGCGGCGGCAAAGCCGCGTGGCACGAAACTTCTTATTGCGCAGAAACGTGCGACAGGCCTTGGAAATGGCCTGGGATATGCAAGAAGCTCTTAGCAAGACCTCGTTTTTGTTGCATGAAGAGAGGGCGCCCCCAAAGACACCCCTAGTTTTTTCCCCTCGAAAATTCAGGGGCCCTCCCCGGCTTGTTGCCTTGCTGGAGTGAGTTGGAGGAAGTCATTGCACTGCACTGGGCATCACAGAGGTGGCTGTTCCTAGATTGGAAACGAGCCGTTTGTTCAAAATCTGGGAAAAGGCCTGAGCTTCGGAGGCTAGGGTTTGCCCCTTGTCGGTTTTGGAAGCTGATGGGTGTCGGTTTTGCGTAGTCCAGTTCCCAATGGCATTCACATGCCCATATCGCTTGACCAGCCAGCATCAATCAACTGTGTGCAATGCAACCAAGTGGCGGTTTGCCTTTAATATCTGGACACTTTCTTAGTCAACCAGGGGCTTGCCAATCCTTTGTCAATATTAACGCTGGACAAGCTTTACTCCATGTCGTCACCTTTGGTCATCAGTCTGCACGTCTTTCCACTAGGCTACTTAGGGTACTAACGTTGTTCAAAGATCTTTAGGTTGGATTTACGTTTCTACCACTTGATTCCGCCGAGGTATGCCGAATCAGGGAGGTGGCATCAAGTGTCTTGGGACCTGTTTGATGGGTTCTACTAAACAGCATCCGATCGCTTGCGCCGAAGGATCCTAGAACAGAACCTCTTTGTTTAGAACCCATTCAGGGCCCCAGAGTGTGGTAGCCAACGAACCAACGAACCAACCCAAGAACCCAACCCAAGCCAGCCAAACGGGAGCCAATCCGAGTGAGGCCGCCTTGCTGCGGCGCCGGGGGGAGAAGCGCAGGAAGCTCGGCGACCTGCCTCAGGCGTTTCGGCTCGTGGGGACGTCGTCTAGTCTCACGATTGCGTGGATGTTCAACCAACGTCAGGCAAGTAGGGAACCAGGGTGATAACTGGGGTAACGGTCTCCGGTCGCTTTTTAACCGCGGTCATAATCTACTACTTGCTGGCTTCAACACAGCACGCGTTCGGTCCCTAGAACGTAAGCCCCATAGCGTCACCGCCAATTCGTATGCCGGTTCCTCTTGGTGGTGCGATTTTTCAATGGGCGACAAGCAGCTCTTGAGTTGCGACGTTAATTCAGATTCCCGTGGCGGTGTGCCAAAGTTGATGCTGGGCGACAGGCAGTGGCTGACTTTAATGCTGCGCTGACAGTGGACCCCCACTATGCCTGCGCCCAAGCCGGAGTGTCCTCATTTTTTGTGGTTGGGCGGCCCTTTCGCAGGGTAGCTTGAAAGGAAGCCGGGGGGCACTCCCTGAGTTCCTGGACTTCTAGCTTTTTTGGGGGATGATCATTCTAGTGGCAACCCAAAAATGGCTTGGCTGCTTTTTTGTTTGCAAATCTCAAGTTAGCTGGGGAGGTTCATGGAGATGCCCGAGGTTTTGGCGCTCGCGGGGCGGGGGGCGGCGCTGCGCTGCCAGGGCAAGCTGGTGGAGGTGCGATCGGTCACGGCGGGGGTGGCGTATGACCTACGATTGTTTCTACAACCCGCCCACTGCAAAACTTGTGCGGTTTATGCCTTGGGGGTGGGAAGGTGGATACCATGGTAGAATGTTCAAACTTGAGTTAATGTTGCAGCCATCTTGTGCAGCCGGATGTGCGCACGAGTTAATTTCGCTTAGGTGCCCGACAACCCCCCATTTTGATAAGGCCCAGGTCTTGTCCGCAGCTCTGTTTTCAGTGGTCCCCGTCTCCTACCAGTTTTGTAGGCTGACAGCCAGCTGAAATGGCTGTTCATCTTAAGAGGGAACCCCTCTCAAAGCTGACGCACATTCTCATGTAAATGATGTCCACCAAAAGGTTCACACCACAGTTTATATGCGGTTTTGTCGTTTTTGTTCGGTCCCTTTTTGGATGGTTTGCGTGGTAACCAAAAGGAAATCACCCACCTGGATGGGGTTCCTGATTTGTTGCGATGGGGTGAGTGATGTTTGATCTGTGATGACTTGTGAGGGGACCTCACGGTGAAGCCTTCCACTTGCTTAGGAGGGCCGCCAGTGAGAACATCCTCTACAGCTAAATCACCTCCTTTACTTAACCACATTGAGGTAATCGTGCTATCTACTTTCACACTGGTATTTCTTTTTGCCGATTTGGCTGGCCAAGAGTGCCTGTGCTTTCCGCGAGGGAGTGGGTGGATGTTTGCGAGGGACCAGCTGCACGTTTCCGCTTCTGCCGGCTATACCCGGGTGGGTCCAACTTCTCAGCCCAGGCCAGGCTCGCAAGGATGAGAATCAGCCAATGCGGAAATCCAACAAACTTAGATTATTCTTCTTATTTTTTTCGGGCGGGGGGGCAGCCCATAGAAGGTCAAAAGTCTTCATCACAAGAAGGCACCGAGCCAGCACACAGCCAATCTTTGCATCTTTGTTTCCGAGATACGCTTCAGAGGCTTGTGACGGGGCCCTTTGGCTGTTGGGCCATGTTTCCGCGATGCGCTTCTGGCTGGCGTTTCTGTGCGGTCTCTTGCCAGCGGTGCTGTGGCGATGGGTGCAGACTCAGCGGGAACGAGAGCCAGAGCTTCGAGCTTTCCTGCAGGAAGTTGAGGACCCAAGGGGATAGGCTGGGGGGGCCGGAGCCTGGCACTGATGTACGAGGTCTGGTCTCGCATCATATTTGGGTCACTCAGCGGTTGGTTTTGAACCCTGAGGATTGATGTTGAACAATCCAGTCAAGAGAGCTGACTCCAGCTTCGATTGCATTGAGTCTGGCCCTGGAGCCCCAGCCCAACGTTGGTCCATTTCAGTCATGGCCCCAAAAGGTAAGGGTGCGATATTATTGAAGGATATTGCTCCGCTGGGTTGTTGTTTCCCAGCGCCACGTGGCAAGTGAGCAAGCAAGCAAGAAAGCAGGCAAGCGCTCTAAACTCTGAACCCCCACTACCAAACCCAACACCCTACGCAAATCTCGCGGATGATTGAGGAAGAGGGAGGGTTGGTGCGGCGCACGCAGAACAAAGAGTCGACTCGTGAGACCCTGCACGTTGTTAACAACCCACAAAAATCCTATGCCGACCCAAAACACACAATAGCCCACCCTAAGCCTTCAACCTGCTTGCTTCTTTCTGTGTTTCCAGATGTCGGCCAAGTTCCCTGGAGGACGCGAACCTCGAAGCGGAGGAGCTGTTGAGCGAATTGTGGGAGGGCCAGTTCCGGAAGATGCAGCAGCTGGACAACATCACGGTCGTCACCGCCGCTGGGTGTTGCAACGCCCTGCAAACTGGGCGCTTTAGCAGTTTACTTGAGCATCTAGAAGGTTTGTCAGTTCCAGAAACCCTGTCAGAAACATTGTTTACACGGCGGTCTTTAGAAAAGACACGGCCAGCGGAGCAAGTAACAGTGTACAACTCAAAAGGCCTGAGCAGGTCGAGTCAAAGATTGGGCGTGCAAAATATGAAAAGGACTGGGTTCCCTTGACGATGTGTTTTGTCAGCTTTGGCTCACGAGAGGCGTTGCAACTCCACCGGAAAGGTTCCGAGAGCCCTTTGCTTTGGCCCCTTCTTTCTAGGAACCCCTCAGAAGGTTCTGTGTTTTTGAGACGTTTTTTGGGATGGCATCGGCCAAGCAGCTACTGCTGAGGAGTTGCCCTTGTTAATGCCGCCATGCACGTCAGGGGGAGCACTAGCGTCACTAGCTTGGTATCCGGACCCCGTTCCAGCAAGGGGGCCCTTTTATGCGCATTTGTTTCATGGTTTCCTTTGGTGGCAAACGGGTTTCGTGATTTCCAGTTGAAGGTGTTGTGACTCGAGCAAATCATGGCCTAAGGTGGACACAGGCAAGCCTCGGCACTTTGTGATGCTGGGCGCTAGCCAGTTGCCGGTCATCAACGCAGGTGCTGACCAAACCTGGCACTCCTGGTACGACAAGCCGAGGCTGCACTTGAGCTGAAATGTGCGCGATCCAAGTGTTTGGTAGACAGTGCTGTTTGTCAGATTGCAGTCCGTCCCTTGGGAGGTATGCCCTAAGGTTAGGCACCTGCTGGTGTTCAGGGGGAGGCCGTTTTGGCTGGCGCATGCACACGCACCCTGGATGATGGGATTTCAGTTCCCTGAGCAGCTGAGGTTGCACCCTTCGGAGCGCAGCCCAAAGTCTAAAGCCAAGCTTACCGGAATTCCCATGGCGTTAACCATGAACACTTGGCAAGTTAGGCTTGTGACTGAGGGTGGTTTGTTCCAGGAAACCGGCAGGAAGCTCGACAGCGAGCCAGTGCACAACTGCTGCTGGTATACAGTTGGCTGGAGAATGTCCTTCTTGAGGACGTCTTGGATCTGTGGGATTTGATTTCCTTGCCCTTTGTGCCGCGCTAAGGCACGCACTCTCTTGGCAAGCTCCCTTACGCTTTCATGAGTCCCTTGAAAGCGTGCCCATTGGTTCGGCGGGCTCCCTAAACATGGCAAGTTAACTAACCACGTCCAGCCCCAAAATCGGGGTAGATTGTGCGTTTCTCTCGTCCCCCCACTACCAAGGTTCAGCACATCCCCAGTATCCCTTGTTCTCAAAGCTCGGTAGTTGCTTGCCTCCGCAAATGGCCTAAGGTACGAGAAGTTCCTCCGACATTTTGCTGCGGAGCAGCCGGATCGCATGGCTCCTGGCCGGGGATGGATATGCGAAGACATCAGAGGTTGACACTTGCATTGGTCCCCTAATTCCCCTTTTTGGGCCTGCAAAGGTTGGTAAATTGCAACTCTTGCAGTGGGCATGCAGTGAAACCTGACTTCCGATCTTTGCTTGAAGGGAGCGAGTCAATGACATAGAGATGTTAGGGCTCTCCTTACCCACCCTCAGAAAGGTTCGAAAGGAACCCTCAACCCTCAATCCCCACAAGGTTTCGAGAACCTTCTTGGTAGCTGGAGGTTGTCCCTCAGGGAGGACGCAGACCTCGAACATAGATTTCACAGCTCGACCGCTGGAGCCTGCCAACCCTTTGCATGTGGGTTTGTCTCTGCATGGGGAGCTGAGGTTGTCCTCGTAGACGGGTTTGACACCATCTCCGGTGGGTGCACAGAGGAACAGTATCTCGTTGCAAGATGTGGGATCATGGGAGAGTGCGGGTGTTCGTTGTTTTTTTAGGCCAGCTCAACCAGGTCTCGAGAATGGCAAGTTACTTAGCTTCTAGTTCAGGTTGACATTTTGGAGCCTCAATGTTGACCTAGCCTATATAGGCCTGACAAGGACGAAATGAAGAGAACGACACTGCCGATGGCCCACTCCTTTTCAGCTTCGTGGCCAAGTTGCGGCAGCTTTTCTTTTCCTGCTCCCCCCATGCTTGAGGCATGTTCTTTTCTAAGTGCAATTCCCCCATTATCTCTAGAACATATCCATAATCAGAGGGGAGCACTCCCAATCTTCAGAGGCCAACCCGACCCGGTCCGAACAGTTGCCCCGGACAAGCCCGCCTAAATCCTGCAACTCTGAAATCCCAAAACGCTAACCCCATCTTCCCCCCCCCCCTCGAGACCTTATCTGATCCCCGCACGCCGTGCGAGGCTTCTGGCCGCCTTCCAGCGCACGGCGAGCCACGTGGTGTGGGGCGCGGAGAGCTGCTGTTTCCCCTGGCGCCAGGACTGCCAAGAGCGGCTCGTTCCAAGTCAGGGGGTTCCTGGAATCGGGACCCAAACGGGAACCAGGGGGGGGAGTGGAGGTGCATTCATCTTGGTTGCAGTTGGGTTGGAGCCTGAGATGATGAGTTTCTCCCAAACGAGGTGTGTAAAGGACCACCCTGTTGGCCCTGACCTTCAGATTTTCCAGCCCTTTTCTTAATCTGGGAACCATTTTGGTGAGGACTCATGCAATTTTTATCTCTCGGACTGGGTATCAACCTCCGGGTTTTGATGTTGCCCGTCCGCGCTTTGTGCTCGCTGGCTTTCGCGGATCCTGATTTGCAGATGTACTGAAGTTTGTGCCTTTGCGCTTGCTGATGTTGAGGTTTGAGAGGTGGGCGGGCCGGCGCGCGGCCATTCTGCGCGAATTTGGGATGGATGAGGCTTACGCACCTTGGCAACTTTGAGTTGGTCATGAGGGTGCTGACTCGACGGACAGACCTCAAGTGCCGATTGGCCAATGGCCACCCTTGTTGGCGGTCTGTAAACATGTTCATGTGACCATGGGTGAAGGCTACCTCCACCAAAGAGGGTTTGCTTTGCATGCAACGTGATGTGGGATGACGTGATGAGGAGCGACAGGGCGATTGCCGTCGCTGCCGCGATCTGGACATCCCAGGAGTGGTGTTTGCTACCTGCCCAAATGTATCACCAGCAGATTCCCACCCCTAAGTACTGCATGGAAAGCCGGGACAGGCACCCAAATAAAGAGGCCTTCAAATGTACAGAGGCCCTTTTCCATGCGCAACTTAGAGGGGGGAGCTGTCGGGCCATGAGGATACGACTCTTTTTGTTCTTCCCCGCCTGCGTACCAGCACCTGAACAGCGGCTTCCTGATGGGTCCCGCGAAGAAGGTGCCGCTTGAATGCGCAAACCACGAGGCCCAGTAATAGGCCAACATCTCACAATGGTGTCAGTTGCATCTAAGTTGCAGCGCTCTTCAGCCCCATGTGAGAACAACAACCAGCAAATCTTGACCCTCAAATTGAATGTTGTTCTTTCTAGGTCAGATCCTCAACAGTGTCCATGCATCTATCCATGTGTGCTGTAAATAAGCACTGCTTTTCAGCTTGCATTGGCTGTCCCCTGAATGATTGCGTCAGCTCAGGCATAACGCAGTCCAGCTTTGGCTGTCTTTGTACACCAACCGCTCAGAGACGGACCAGTTGGTGGCCCGCCGCTTGGGACAGCATTTGGCGACAGAGATGGCGGATTTCAAGTTGTCGACCCACGCCCGACCACACAATCAGGGTACGTTCGTCAATTACAGGGTGTCCCTTGTTTCCTAGTTGCAATGTTTAGGGAATCAACAAGCTGGGCTTGCTTGAATTGAGCCGGAAGGAGAGAGCATCCCTTGTTGGGGTTCCCTTATTAAAGCAAGCCCAACAACAACTTGGATGCCCTTGATTGAGTCATGTTTGACCTCTCCCCGAGGGCCGTGAAAGAGAAAGCCTCTATCTGATCGTTGTTTCTACCGTTTCTTGGACAAAGACAATAGGATTCCAACTCTCCCTCCTTCACCCCCCTTCAAACCCATTCCCTTCTCCCTTCTCTCCTAGGGTGAAAGCTGCGCGCCAGGAAGCGCCTTCTTCCTTGCACAAAACTGGTCCTTGGACTACAGCGGGTCGCTCGTGCTAACGGCGGGGAACATCCCGGAGTCTGCGGTGCCAGAGCTCTTTGATGTGCGAGACGGCGTCATCTGGAACCGCCTCACAGGCACAGTCTGCGGGGCGGTTTTCCTTGGTTTCCCGAATGAGCCTTTCTGTCTTTGTTTCTTTCTTTTTTGGCTGCGAAAAAAGGTTCTCATAGGGGCCCAATCGACCAATCGAGGCACCCCTCCCCCCAAAATAATAATGATAATAATAATAGTAATGATAATGATAAGCAGCGAGCCACCCTGGCACGAAACAAAAGCAACAAGAAGAACCTACTCAACCCTCCCTCCAGTCATGGAAGCGGACAAGAGGATTCTACTTGCTACTGTCCACTTCTATTACCTTCTGGAAAAAGCCCCCCCCCCCCCCACCCCCACGCCCCCTCTGCCGTCCAAGAAAATAAAGGGAGCCGTTGGCAGAGCTCTCGGCCAGGTACTGCTCAGTGCTTTATCCACGGCGCTGGGCCGGGCAAGGCCGGGTGCGGAACAAACCCCCGTGAGGTCTGGAGGGAAACCCAGGCGAAACCACACATTTGTGGGCTTAGACTTTGATTTTTTGCTGGTTTTGAGTTCTGGAATTGTTTCTGGGCTGTTGTTTTGTGTTACTCGTACGATTTGGAAAGGTTTCTTTTGATGTTTTTGTTGGTTTACCCTCAGACCCATTCGGGATACTCTCCCACCCGAAGGGTAGTTCAGAGGGAAAACAGAAGGCAAACCAGTCATATAGGCGCCTCCTGGCTCTGCTTGCATCCTGTTTTTTTGAGAACTTTTTGTTAGGGCTTAGTTTGGGACCACCCAAATTTGGAGTGGGTTACCTCATTTGGCTACTGGTTGGAACCCCTCACAAGTGGCAGGTAAGAACAAACATCATGTCTACAGCTAAAAGTCGCTCTCCCTCCCTCACCAAAATGAAAGCAATTTCAGAATGGTGATCAACACTGGCGAACTGAAGTACTGGTTGACCCGGAATGGAGAAACCCGTTTGTGTATATCGCAGAGCGTCCCAGTTTAGAGGGGCACCCTCGTGCAACCCCCCCGCCCTCTTTAGAGGTCGCCTTTCAGCTGCAGGGTCAAAATTAGGTGACTTGGGTGACAAAGGGTTCTAGGCATGCTACACGCATGTCCGCATGTCCTTTGGTGCAACCTGTCCTTTGGAAACTATTCTGAGTGACTGCTTGGAAACGCACGGCCAGCCCTGAGGTCTTCTTGGTTCGCTTGCTGCAGGCTTTAGATGGCACGCGGCCCTTGGAAGAAATGGGCGCGAGGGTTTTAGAGGGCGGGGGGCTTGTTAACCCTGTGTCTTTGGCCGGGTTTCTGAGCAGATGATCAAGTTGTTGTTCCCCAGTGGAAAGCTTTCGAGACTCTGCCCAAGCTCCGAGGTGGTTGGGAGCGGCTTCGGGCCAACGTTCCGGAAGGGTTTGGGGTGCTGCTCTGGGGATGCCAACCTGCTTATTGAACGAGGGTGACCTTTTTTGAAATTTCCGGCTTGGTTGGTTTTAATCCAGTAGCAAGTTTAAATTGACCGGTAAGTTGTTCTAGCGCTCCCTATGGCCAACCCACGTGCTACAAGTTTGAATGCCACACCCAGAAAACCCTCTTTTTCAGCCGAGCCCGCCAGACGCTTGTGCATGCACCTTTCACTTGGTGTGTTTGACACAGTGTGTCTTTGTTGTCAGATCTTTTCAGTGTGTCTACTGAAGCCGGTTTGCCCTGTTCTATCTATGTGTGCTCAATTGCCGTTGTAGGGTATATCCAACTGGTAGCTGTCGATTCCTTCGAGCATTCCGCCTTGGCATTTGCAGTCTATCTTGGTTTGTTTCTTTTGGGTGGTTTGATGTCTTCAGGTTGGATATGCAGTGAGCTTGCTGCAGAAGCCTTCGGCCTGGTGTCTCCAATAATCTGTGTGCATGCTTTTTGTTGAGGGCGATTAATGGCGTGCTTCAAAGGGAACCCAAAGAAAACCACCCAAAACTTGGCCCCCCTAGTTGAAGACAGGTTTTGCAGACAGGTTGTGGGTTTGAGAGGGAAGCAGCCCTTTTGACTGCCAGTCTTGCCTTCCACGGCTTCTGTCACCCTGGCGTACCCTCGGCCAGGCTGCTGCGGACTGCAACCGGGCGGTGGAGCTGGAGCCCTTCAACGGCCAGGCGCGCAGCGCCAAGTTTGTGGGTTCCTCCTGGTTCCCCTTCATCTTCACACCCGAAAGCATGCCATGAAAAAGAGACGCATCTATTACTATTTGGCAAATAGACAACAAAGGTGAGAAGGTAAGCTAACTCTGGTCTGGCAATGATACCTGCGACCAATGTGACGAGAGCTCTGATGAAGGAGCTACCGATCCCCAAACGCGCAACCCACACGCCATTTTGCTTGATTGGTCTGCTACGTCGGATTCACTACTTGAGCTGTCGAGTGTGGCCATGCCTGCGCCTCAAAGCTCATGAATTTGTTACCATTTACCAAGGGGCCATTTTGCGTACCTTCTTTGGAGCCACAGCCATGACCACAAGAGCGGCCATCGTGAGTTTGGCCCCCTGAAAACACTGCGTTGAGAGCCGAGAAGCCATGCTTCCAAGCCACAAGGAGCGCATCCAAACCGTTATCTAGATTTGCCAGCAGTCCAAATCCCGGCCTTCTCCAAACCTAACTTCCCTTTCCCTAGAACTCATGGAGCCATTGAACTCTGTTACCCTCTCGTTTGCTTGAAACATGTCCTTATTTCATTATTTGACAGGTTCCAAGCCCTCGTTGTATTTGGGTGGTTGTTCTAGCACAGTTTGTTTGCTCTTTGGGTGTCTCGCTTGCTTTGGCGTTGTTTCTTGTCCTTGTTTTTTGTTGGTGACTTGTTTGTTCCAGCATAGCGTTGTTGTTGTTGGGTGTGCTTTTCGTGGTTTGGTCACTGTTTACTCCATATAACCCACGCCCCACGCACATGCATATGGAGTCCGAAAGATCTTGTTTGAAGGGATCTGGAAAAACGTTTCTAAACTAGCGACCCCAACAGTCGTTCCCCTGGAGGAAAGGAATCCCACCAAAGCGGGAACCTCCACTTGCTGGCTCTGGCTGGAATGTGGGAAGAACTTCCTTTTTGGGGATCCTTTTCCTTTTCCATTCCCTGACAACCAAGCTAATGGGCCGAAAGGGGAGGCTTGGCTGTCAGGTGCTGTTGGGCCGGGCCTTGGTTCTGAGGGACCAGGGTCGCCTCCGCGAGGCCAGGAATGTCCCAGGGATTGGGGAGGTACCCACTTGGCCAACCCATCCAAGTAGCCGACCAAAGGAGATCCATTGCGGCCGCTTTTCAGGGACCGGACAAGCGGCTTCTAATGTGCGCGCGGTCCGATCACTTGCCGCTGGTTAAACTCATACGAGCACCCAAGCTCACGAAAGCAGGTTAGGCATTTAATGCCATTCATCAGCGTGTACGTGCATTTCTTTGAAGGGAGCTATTGGGGGGTGCTATCCTTGCATAAGCCTAGGATGAAGCTCTCAATAAGCCCGTAAGGGTTAATAGGTGATAGCCCCCCTCCCCTTAGCCCGCTCACGCTCTGGTGGATGCTCCAAAGATTGCGAGGCTCCAAGGATTGCGAGAAGGGAAGAAACCCTGTAGCTTGCCATCATGCTTTTCTGGATGAGTATGGGGTTTGCTTGCTAAAGAAAAGGGCATCCACCCCCTGAGATTTTGATGCCCCGTCCTCGAGGGTTTCGTTGGGTTGCTTTAAGCCCCCCTGGTCAAAAGGTAGTTGGTGCAGGGGAAAACTATACGGGTGTGTTTTAGAATACAACCCCAAAAATGGAATTCGGCTTTCCTTTTGCTTTCCCAGGAAAACCAACAAAATCGAGAAGCAACTGTCGTGCTCCACTTTGGGCTCCCAGCACGGCCAACAGAGACGGCAGAGCAGCGGTGCAGCCATGTTCTTTGCCTTGACTGGAACGGACACTGGGGATGACGAGGACTGCTCGGATGTCTCTTAGGGCAAAACGGCAGGGAGAGGGCAAGGGAAATGCAGACCATGTCAGGCGGGCTGGTCAAAGGGAAGCGGCGCCAAGTGAGTAAGCATGAATGTGTGAGTGTGAGTGTCGGTGTGCGTGTGTGGGTTGTGGTCGACGTCCATTGGGTACTCTTTTGCGTGCGCTTGCGTTCTGCAAGTTGGGCTTTCAATGTGGTTTTGCAGCTGCCCGCCTATTTGTGTGTCGTGGTTGGTTGCCTTAGTTTGTCGACATTGGTTTGAATTATGCTGGGATGCTTTACGGGGGTGAAGCCATCCGGGCGAGCTGAGTCCAGTGTTCAGTGACTGCCGTGGGTCTAGTTTGGCTGCTGGCAAACCTGCAAGGCTCCAAAGGACACCATTGCCCATCGGTTTTGCGCCTTCGCCTCTTGGACTGAAAGACACATGATGTCACTATCATAGCAGGGCCCCAGACCAGATGGGACAAAGCCCAGTGCGTGCGACTTGGAGTTTTGTACCCCGGCCGCGCTTACTTCCCCGCTTCCGCGATGAGGCCATGAAGACGCTCAACGAAGACATGGACCCACTCTTTGAACGGCTTCCTGGCAACGTTTTCTGCCGCCCTGCGGTTTCCTCGGTGGCTAGCCGAGTTGATCCACAAGTTTGTTTCAGAGCCAGGGACACAAGCCAAGGTGTGCGTTGAGAGGGGGTGATTGTCCCTGCAATCTATTTGATCACGTTGGGCAAGCGGCGGATTTATTGGCGTGCCTGAACTCACTGGTGTCGTGGACATAGTTGTCCAGTATCAGAGCGCTGTTTGTGCCAATTTGTAGTGACTAGTGGGCAGGCCCTGGCTACCTCTCTGCAAATTAGAATGGAACTGGAGGGTCCCCCAAAGGAGCCACAATCAAAACCCGGGTAGTGAAGCTTAGTAAAGGACGATCCCAGCCATAAATAGCCGCAGCCGCCTTCTTAGTTCTTTACATGGTTCTGGGTCGACCATTTTTGTACCAGGTTTTGAGTGTGACTCATTAAAATTAAAGGATCTTCCCGTTAGAGCGGCCGCTTGGGCTCCATTTGAATGGCGCAATCGGCGGATCCGCCCTTGGCCCAGGTTCTTGCCGCTCTTTGATCAGGACCGTTTGGAGCTGGCCCAGCAAGGGGAAACCCATGAGCAGATCCTTGCCCAAAGAGAGCTTGGCACCAGCGGGTGTCGAAACCAAAGGCCGTAAAAGGAGAGAAGATGCCACCAGGCTTTTGGGGAGTTGTTGCGAGGCAGAATGTAGCATAATTTGCTTGTCGGAGCTGAATCTGCACGCAAGAGGCTTTGGATACACTTTGTCGGACTTGAAACGTTGATTTGTTTGCAACCCGGCGATGACAAACAAGAGGGCATCCTGAGCCAAGGTATGCTGCCTACCGGGAATATGTTGCGACCCTTGAGGAGAATGTGTCCAACTTCGCTTTGCAGGAAGGGTGTCTTGGCAAGACCGTGGAGCAAAACTCACCGTTTTCCAACTGCACCTGCATTTCGTTCACCCATGAAGGTCCTTTACCACGAGGTTTCCTTGTTTCGCTCGTATTTGGAGCTTGCAATCCGAGGCCCAAGAGGTAGGGCTGAGCAAATGGCAAAGGCGCCACGGCTCAGGTACAGCCCCGGGGATGCTAGCAACTTCCTTCGCGAGCTGCAGCAGGCCGTGGAAGAGGACAAGGCGCCCACGCTCGCCATGCAGCCCTCTTTCGGAGGATGCAATTATTTTGTTGTTGAATGCTTGGAACGGTTTCTGGTTCAAATGGCCTATTTCGATTTTCCCCGAATGCCAAAAGGAGACGCGGAGACGCGGAGATTTTGAGTTTCAGGTCCTCTGTTTTTGCATCCAGCCCTCAGCAAAATGCTTGGTGAAGATGACACTGGGGGGGGGGGAACAATATGGAACAATCATATCTGTCAATGGTGAAGCTCTTCCAACGGGGATCCTTCAGCGAAAATCCTTTAATGGGTGCTATATTATTCAATTGTCCACTGGATTTGGATTTTGTTTCCACCCCCACACCGCGAGCAAGCACGCACGGACGCAAGCAAGCAAGCATCCACTCTAAGACCACACTAACCCATCCTAAACTACCTAAACCTACCCCAAACCCACCATAGACATACCTAAACCTAAGCTCAACCCAACCCGGCCCGAAACCCA